ATTATCATCTTTAATTTTGTCTACTCTCCATCACTCTGACAATATCATTTTTAATTTTGTCTACTCTCCATCACCCTGACAATATCATCTTTAATTTTGTCTACTCTCCATCACTCTGACAATATCATTTTTAATTTTGTCTATTCTCCATCACCCTGACAATATTATTTTTAATTTTGTCTATTCTCCGTCACCCTGACAATATCATTTTTAACATTGTCTACTCTCCATCATCCTGACATTATCCTCATTAATTTTGTCTACTGTCCATTACCCTGACAATATCATTTTTATTTTGTCTACTCTCCATCACTCTGACAATATCATCTTTAATTTTATCTACTCTCCATCACCCTGACAATATCATCTTTAATTTTGTCTATTCTCCGTCATCCTGACAATATCATTTTTAATTTTGTCTATTCTCCATCACCCTGACATTATCATCTTTAATTTTGTCTATTCTCCATCACCCTGACAATATCATTTTTTTTGTCTGCTCTCCATCACCCTGACAATATCATCTTTAATTTTGTCTATTCTCCGTCACCCTGATAATATCATTTTTAATTTTGTCTATTCTCCATCACCCTGACATTATCATCTTTAATTTTGTCTACTCTCCATCACCCTGACAATATCATTTTTTTTGTCTACTTTCCAAAGCACTGACAATATCATCTTTAATTTTGTCTACTCTCCATAACACTGACAATATCATCTTTAATTGTGTCTACTCTCCATAACACTGACATTACCATCTTTAATTTTGTCTACTCTCCATCACCCTGACAATATCATCTTTAATTTTGTCTACTCTCCATCACCCTGACAATATCATCTTTAATTTTGTCTATTCTCCGTCACCCTGACAATATCATTTTTAATTTTGTCTATTCTCCATCACCCTGACATTATCATCTTTAATTTTGTCTACTCTCCATCACCCTGACAATATCATTTTTTTGTCTACTCTCCATAACACTGACAATATCATCTTTAATTTTGTCTACTCTCCATAACACTGACAATATCATCTATAATTTTGTCTACTCTCCATAACACTGACATCATCATCTTTAATTTTGTCTACTCTCCATCACCCTGACATTATCATCTTTAATTTTGTCTACTCTCCATCACTCTGACAATATCATTTTTAATTTTGTCTACTCTCCATCACCCTGACGATATCATTTTTAATTTTGTCTACTCTCCATCACCCTGACAATATAATTTTTAATTTTGTCTACTCTCTATCACCCTGACAATATCATCTTTAATTTTGTCTATTCTCCATCACCCTGACATTATCATCTTTAATTTTGTCTACTCTCCATCACCCTGACAATATAATTTTTAATTTTGTCTACTCTCCATCACTCTGACAATATCATCTTTAATTTTGTCTATTCTCCGTCACCCTGACAATATCATTTTTAACATTGTCTACTCTCCATCACCCTGACATTATCATCTTTAACATTGTCTACTCTCCATCACCCTGACATTATCATCTTTAATTTTGTCTACTCTCCGTCACCCTGACAATGTCATTTTTAATTTTGTCTACTCTCTATCACCCTGACGATATCATTTTTAATTTTGTCTACTCTCCATCACCCTGACAATATCATCTTTAATTTTGTCTACTCTCCGT